GTTTAAGTGTCTCTATCGATATTACAAGAACCACCGGTAAAGTCGATATTTAGGTAGGGTTTGCAGTTCCTATGATATGAACAATGGAAAATTGTACGGGAAAAGTTGGTATAGACCAGCCCCAAAAAGCGGCGATGCGAACTCGCACGAGCGGAGGGGGGGATAACGACGGTTCTTGGTTTTCTTTCACTCGCCAGACCAACTGATTTCATATAGCCTGGTTGCTTTCTTTTCACCCGGCAAACCGCCAATGTACTCACCTGTGGCGAGTGGAAATTTTATCTGGCGTAGACATTGCTCAAACAAGTATGGGCAAGTGAGACTTTCGTTTGAAAAGAATTATTCAATCGTAAAGCCGCGATGATTGTTAAAGAGCGAATGAATGCCTGCACGTGCAGAGAAGACTAGAGGCACAAGTGGCTGAGCTGGTGACTTCCTATGCGAGTGTCTAGTGCTCCTGAGTCCTATCATCTCTTAATCCCCACTTCCCTCTTGGAAGGCTGAGGGCGGTGCGGTGAATTCTCATTCGACGAGTGGAGGCTGAAAGGTTCCCGGACTTAGTAAAATATCACGCATGCAACTGATTTTTTCAAATGTTCTTCCTTCTTTACGTAAACACCTTAACAAGCAACTGAGTTCCTCAACTCTTTGCTCTTCACTTCCACCTTTTCAACCGTATCACTTTTGATCAATACTTCTTTCATCGCTCCGTCGGATTAAGAACTCCAGCAGAAAAACCATTCTTCACAAGTAACGTTCACCGACTGGCTTATGCAGGGGTAGTTCTTGATCCATATCAGGAAATGAATGTCTAGATATTCTTTTTCTCATGGCCTTGGCAAACCATTAATTGATGAGTCTATTTTTTAACATTCTTATAATTGATTTGAGGAGCAATTATGTATTGGAATGTAAAAAACTGAAATCTTATTGGAAGTTTCACGGGTAAAAACTGTTCAATAAAATTCCAGTCAGTCAAAGGAATCTCATCTTTCCCTTTCTTTTCTATTCATTCTTAGAATTCTTTGAAATTCTCCAAGAAATCACCTCCCAGCGGTAACATGACAGTTCCTACATACGATATTACCCGGCACGAGAGTTCTAAGAATCCCGACTATTCCTTCCTCACTCATCGAACTTCTAACCTTAGGAGACTCAATTTGGCCATAGCCTTTCTACTAGTTAACAGTACTAGCTTGACAAGCCACCCTCTGGACTGCAAACTGTGCTCGGCCTCTGATGAATTAAATTTGGGTCCCAGTGAGGTGGAGGAGAAGTCTGGGGGAGAGTCATGCTCTTTGGCTTTGGTCTGTGGACGTGCATTAAGCACAAGTCCACCCTTCCCACTTGTTCGTCCATAACACCCCCGTGGGGGGGGGGGGGACCATCCTTTTCCTCCGCTTCTTTCCACTTCACTGGACTCAAAAGTTAATTCGTCAGAACTTGGTTCGTAGCTCTGAATGGGGCTTGCGAAGCTAGTACATAGAAAGGCTATGATTTGGCCGATGTGGTTGTTCCGGAGACACGCTTCTCGGGTTCACTGGGATTCTTTAACGTCCCGCATCTAGTGCTATCTAGTGCCACATCTTGTCCCACACAGAATCATCAGATCCGATGCATCCACATACCTTCAACTACTGTACTACTTAAATTACCTGAACATGGACACACGACCTGCGTCAAACCTCTAACTTAGTTTGCTAATTCGTGCGATCCACCTAATTAAAACTCCTTCAACGCTCAGTAAGCCACAGAGCCACCTCCATATGGAATTCTCTCATTCTTCCCGACGTAGGTCATATCAAACCCAAAAATTTAGTCAAACAACCATCTCTCAACTCATCACTTTGATCCACAATTAGCTACCTGAGATTCGGTAGGCCCGTACCTAGTGATGCATCTCCGTGTCACTTACTTTCTGTATCGCTTCATATCCATATGAATTCATATCCACATGCCTGAGCGAAATCTACTGTTTCAAAGTACTACCTCTGGCTAATTAAGAGGCTGTCGGGAATTAAGCAAATCCCGCTTCCGCTGCAGTTGGGGGATACAATCAATTGAAAATCACTGTACTCACCTGCCCCTCCCTCCCCCCCCATGTGCCGCCGCGAGACTTCGTCATGCGGGGATCGGTTACAAAACTCCCGAAAGGGAAAGTAGGAAGGAAGAAGTGAAAGAGGGCGATGTCCTGCCCTCATTCGCCGTTCATATATCTTGCTGTGGTACCAATTTTGTACCACCATGCTTCAACACTGCTAATAATCATGGTTTACGCTTTGTACCACAGTGCAGACTTTAACTGCAAGTAAGGTTTCCCCCCCCCCCCCCCCCAAAAAGAAAAAAGTTTCTCCTCCGCTGATGCTATTATTTCATTTCTTATTTTGTCTGGGTATTTTTGCTGCAGCCTGTATTTTCCGATATTTTTGGTCGAATAAGGGTATTTTTTAAAGGATTTATTGAAAAGTACTCAGCAGTGTATTAAATTGAGATGCTGAGTACAGCATATTTACAGGGCAAAAGTTGTACTTACGCACAAATTTCACGATGGCTACAAAATGACACAAATTATGGATCATATGGTACCAATCCGCCTCCGCCTGATATTTTAATGAGTGTTTCCTGACTAAATGAACTCTTTTTATTCAAAATTTTAGGCAGTTTGGTCTCCTGGTTCCGAGAAACTTATAAATATATAATTTTTTTTGTTTATTCTGGGCACCCTACATAATACAGTGTTTTTCACTTGAGTTAGACAATTTTTCACTTGACTCAGACACACGTGCATGGGATGTTCCTCGTGCATGGGTGTCGAAGTCAAGTGAAAAAGTGTCTAACTCAAGTGAAAAACACTGTAAATATGTTGTCTGTTCCTTGCCTCGCATTAGCCAATAGGAAGGTTTGTTTATGAGGGAATTAAAAATGGCTGCATGGTACGCTTACTGGGAAGGGCTTATAGCCGTACATGCCTTAGGATGGACTTGCACGTTTGTCCGTCCTCGCTGCTTTCACAATAGTTGTGAGGTTTGTTTCTGTTAGCGTTAGAGAGGCCTTGGCCTCTCGGTATGATCTGGCCCGTTTATCTGTTTAGGGGTCCGTCAAAGACTTAATGTTACTAACGTAAATGTTACTAACGATGGCGTAGGCCTATCAAAGCCCTAGGGTGACCACGTTTAGGAATTCCTAGAACTCAACGTTCATTTTGATAACTGAAATCAGAAACCGTTATAGGGTGGGAAAGGGGTAGGAGTTTCACTTTGCAATCATTGGGCCTGCACAGCTGATCTTAAAATTTTGAATTTCTCCCCATTTGGACCACTACTATTGAGTAAAGGAAGTTACATATTGTAGAGAGGAAGTTAAATATTAACTGTCTCTCTATAATAGAGTCCATCATGATCGCCTGATTTGACACCTAAGAAGCCCCATATTAGAATCTCTCTGACTTCTGACCAGCAAAAAGCTTGGGAAAACATGTGCAAATTGGCATTCATTGCATCTAGGATGTTCTATATTCTGACTTGTTGTTCTGAATGAATTTTAACAGCAGTTGTATTGTCTCTGTTTTTGTTAATGTTTCTATTGCAATATTCTTCTAAATATGGAGCTTCCTATACCAAAAGCAGAATTAAAAGTGTGACTCTGCATGTGTGATTGCTACCTTGCAGTCAAGGTCCATGAGGGATGTAAGAATATTTGTATTCCTGGCAACCATTGCACCTGTTATCAGTAATCTCCAAACTGTTTGAGGTGAGGGCCATATAGATACTTTATCTGCAGTGAGTTGCATTAAAAAAGATTCTATGTGGTGAGCTCCTAGATGAAACTCATGAAGAGGGTGCCTCACCAGTGACATGTTGGAGATCCCTGCTATGATCCTGCTTCCCCCTCCATAGCCTGCAGACTACTTGTGGCAAGGCTGCACTTGGAATATTGAGGCCTGAATACTTGGAATACGGAATGGGTGACATTTGACTAGATCTAGATCTAATATGCTATCAGATACACCTGCTTAACTCTTTCAAGAATATAATTGGAATGTTAAAAATTGCCTTAGAAGCACAAGTTTTATCTTTCAACTTTTAAATATTAAATTTGGCAATTACTGTTGTAGGAGATGGTATAATTTTTTGAGCTGGCATGTGGAAGAGCTAAAATATATCTTGCTGTGGTACCAATTTTGTACCACCATGCTTCAACACTGCTAATAATCATGGTTTACGCTTTGTACCACAGTGCAGACTTTAACTGCAAGTAAGGTTTCCTCCCCCCACCCCCCCAAAACCTTTACGAGCCAGCTGAGGTGTTTAATGTAACTAAAGACTTTTGACAAGGAATCTGAACTTTCAGATGTATTGCAGGGTAACTGGACAAGGTTGAGCAACATTTATATAATATGAATACTGAATTTTACCCTAGCCTTATAGGATAGGCTGATAAAATTATTTGCCTTTGCTTGGGTGTGGGTGGGTTGTGACATTTTGTTTCTCTTTCTCTCTCACAGTTGGCTTTTGTGTCATATTGTACCATGTGGTATTTTAAATGGGTCATCAGGCCTTGGTTTAGGAGGAGCAAAGCAACAATGCTGAGTTGGAACCTGCAAGACAGGGCAGGTTTTGGCTAGTTTAATCTAAGGTAGGATGGAACTGGTACCTCATCCCTTTTGCAGAGCTTGAATTCCTTGGGGAATCATTGTGGAGAGAAGTAATTTCCAAATCTAGTTGTTTCAGCACTGAGGAACATATGGAAAGTCTGCTTCCCTTCACTGTCTAGTTTCTTTTACTTCCACCCACTTTCCCTACTGTGAAAATGGATTTTTTCAGGAGCTCACTCTCACCATCTGCACATATCTGTGCAAAAGAATTTCCACTTCCATTTGAGGGATCAGAATCAATTTGGATCAGTTTCACAGTATTTTATAAAATGTTTTGCCTATAGTCCCTGACCTTCAACCTTGCCTCTGGCTTGCCATAATGGTTAATAATGTCAGTTGTCATGTTGATCTATTGCCAGATGGAAACAAGGAGCTCAGTAGGTGATTGAAGGTGCTAATAGGCTCTTCTTGAGCGTGACTTCTTGTCTTCTGTGTCATGGGAATAGTGGATGACCCAAGAACAGTGATAATGACCCTGGATGCTCAATTTAGTGATCAAGCCACAGAAGTGGATTCTGCTCTGTCTGGAGACCACCAATCAAATGTCCAACCTAGGACTAGAACTTCAAATGCCAGTTTTGATGAAGATGGAAAGAAAAATCTGAGAGTTTCAAGTTTTAGGAGTACCAAGAGTGATGAAGGAACTGATACCGATGAATTTGAACAGCTGAATGGTAGTAATGGGGACCACAGCAGTACTGGTTCCTTGCATGAAGAACTGCAGAGAGCTAAGCATGAAGTCCTCATTCGAGAGGAGGAATTGAACAACCTTCGTAGTATTAGAAACAAGATGGAGGATGAAGTTCGGGACCTTACTGCATCACTATTTGAAGTGAGTACTACTATTGAATGACTAGAATAGACAAGCCCCAAATAGGCTTTGCTGCATTCTGTTGTACATTTGCTCTGCAACAAGCATTTTCTTTCTCTTATTCAAGGAAGCCAATAAGAAGGTGTGTGCAGCCTTGCAGAAGAGTGCAGGTTCAGAGAAAGCCTTGAAGGAAGCTAATATGAAAGTGGAAGGATTGCAAGCTGAAGTCCAAGCTCTCAAGGCACTAGTCCTCACATCGACCCCCAGCAACCCAAACCTGTCGTGTCAAGCTCACTCACCTTGCGTAATTGAACAGCAAGGTGCCTAATTCTGCATTTACAAATTAGGAAATATGCAGGGGTTAAATATATATGCATGGCTTTTCCTGAAGAATGGTATTTTACCTGTTGCCAATAACTGCATTATTGGAATTACCAGTGTTACCAGGTTATTGAGGATCTGCAGGTAGACTTCTTGTGTTGTTTTAATCTGCTTTTTGCAATCGAACCCCTCCATCTCTTTCCTTTGCTTTTTGGTCATCAAAGTATCTCCAAAACCAGAGCAAAAAGTATATACCATTTTCTGTAGCATTATGAAGAGAAAGGCAGCAGACTTTTTCAATCCTGTCTTTCCTTATTCACAAATACAATAACTGTATTTAGTAGCAGGATCTAGTACCAGTAACTGGAATTTGCATGCAGAAATATGAGAATGGAAAAAATGAGAAAATTATCAATTCTGTTGCATCATTACTTTTCTTGCTAATTATAGATTAATTATAAGCTCATGAAATTTATCTGTTCCAGCCAAAGGATTTTTAAAGCGACACAAGCGCAGTCCATCACATCCCATCCAGACCATAAGCTGTGCTCATCTGAATGGAATTGACCCTAATAGTTCTCAGTCAAATCATGGGGAAGTTTTGGAGGTAGTCTCTTGTAATATGAAAGATACTCCATATCCATAATGTGTCAGAGAGGTGCTTCATACCCTTTAATCAATTTCCTCTAGGTTGATCCAAAACTGGAAGAAGAATTCCTCTTATGGCGAGAATCTCCTGTTGTAGAATGGGAATCCCCCCATCCCTTTTTCAGGCGTATTTTGCAGGAGGATATTCTTCCATGCCTCACTTTCTCTAATGAAGAGCTTTCTTTGAAGATCCAAGAAGCTATGAAGTCTCATTCCATCTCAATTGAGTCCGTCTCAGCAGCTTCAAGGCAATTCCCCAAGTTAGCTCGCTCTTCCTTGACACTGATATGCAATTCTAAATGTCCATCATTTTCCCATAGGACAACCACTGTAACAAACTGATTTGCCTTTTAGGAATTGTGCACTGCTGAAATGCCCAAGAATCTGCACCCACATCATGCAATTGGGGGATGGCGATGAAGAAGGCATCCCTATATCTCAGCTGTGCCGTAATCGTGTGAGTACAGGTCAACTCTGTTTCATCTCTCCCTCTGTGGAGCTTAGGAAATATCCTCTAAGAAGGGTGTGACTTTGCTTTCAGATTACTGGAGTATGTGACCTCTTGGTATACTTGAGGTACATAGAACGAGGCCTAGTCAAAGCAAATGGTAAGTTCTAGGATTTCACCATAAATGACAAAGTGGATCCTTTGAAAGTGATTCATGATGTTCCTTTGCAGAGAAAGAGGTTTACGAGGAGATAATGCGATTGCGCCTGGAAGTGGCTGCTGCAAAACTGGGATTTCATAATCACAGGAACAAGTGATTTCTTGCTCTCAGCTATTTTTTTTGCAAGACCAGAACTGGCATTGCCAAGGAAAACGCCATATGTGCTACAAAGCAGTTCAAATGTTGTTTGGTTTAAGTGATTGTCAATGAACTTTTGGTTGGAGTGAGCAGGTTATACTGGAGCTGAAGTGAAGCTAGGTCAGTAAAGGGAGAGGTTTGTGATCAAAACTATTAATGAAGAATCTCTGCAAAGCCAGGAATATGTTCTTGGCCAAACACTTGGGATGGAAATCTAATTGGAAGCATGCTTCACTTCTTGAATCAAGTGTTGCTTTAACCATGGCATGGAAAAAGAAAGAAGAGTGACAAGGAAATGGAGGATAGTTTATCATGTAATGTGTTATTGCAACATTGGCGAGTAGGCTTATTAATGATTATAAAGGAAAATCTGGTACCCATTGTGGAAGCAGGTCTTGTGAGGTAAACATGATTATTCCTAGGTCACAAGTTATAACTTATTTGTGTAAAAATTCAGTTTCATTTCAAACCTCATGGGATTGAATTGAATCCAAAAATATGACCAATAATAGAACTTGCACTATTTCATGGATGGTTTATGTCTTCCCAAAATGTTTAAAGGTGTGTTCAGATCTTTAGATGATTCAGTTGGAAAACAGGTTCATGGGTTATAGTAGCCTGCTTTTATGACCTGTAGATGTTTGCAACCAACAACTGCTTTGGAATGGCATGCAGTTTTTATCCATGCAGAGCACCAACTGACCTACATTTGGAATGCATTAAGCTAGAGAGGAGGCTTCACTACATGTTGCTCTCCAGTTATTTCACTGCACACAAGTAATAATGGTTTCATTCACCAGATAAGGAGCAATGAGCTGGAATAAGAAAGATTAATTAAACATTCATAGCAAGAGAAACACCAATACATTAAGGATTTAAGAGCAGATACTGTGCATGTAGTTGAAGAAACGGGAATATTCAGTGAAGTCAAACTTTAAAAAAAATTCAGTTTCATGTTTTTGTCAGCACTGCTTGTTATGCTTTGTTCGACTCAGTCTTATTACACTAAACCTTCATTGATTACATCATTCTGATTGGTACTTGAGATTAGTGATTTGGGTCTATTGGGCTTGGTTCACAAATCCTTTGAAGACTTTCATGCTGCTTCTTTTATGTAATGGCAATTGTAAAGTTTACTGTTTTTTATGCATGATTTTTTTTTACTTCTAAGGTTCATTCTTGGTCTATGATGACCCTTTGGAAAGTGGTGCATGAGAATAACTTAAGTCAAAATCATTTCAGATGCCTCTCCTCTGAGTTGCTTTGTGTGTTGTGAGAGCAAATATGGTAAGTCATTGCAGTTTGTCAGTGGCTCTCATATTTTCTTTTTACCATCATCATTATATTATTATTTGTCCATCATCAAGGAAGGTATACTTATTTGGGACCAGAATCAACTCAGATTGATATTCCTGCTTCACAGCATGCAATGTTCAGAGATCTGAGCTGAAACTCTATGACCTTTATGCTGCAAGGGAATCTTTATGAGAACTGTATTAATAGACCTCTCTGTGCCAAATGAGTCATGTAAGTCTTCCAGATTTGATATGACCCCTCATAAATTCTTTCAGTGCTGGCACTGTGATTCTACCTGGTGAAATCTTTTTTCTCTTAGATTGATCTTTTTTAAGAGAAAAAATAAAAAACAAAGACACCTAATTTTAAAAGAGTGAAATAAATTTATCGGAACAGTCTGTTTGAAGTGAGTTGTACTCTTCTATTATTTCTTATTATTGTGTTGCTTGCATTTTTCATGATCTGAGTTATGTTTTCAATACTCCCTGTCTGTGATGCAGTTTGAATGTTTCTGTCACTGCAATCTCATCTGCAGTTTGAATCTACTTAGTGCGACAAGTGTGTAAAAAGAATTGATCCTTTCAGAACACTCATTCAGTTATTGCTTGTCATGAAGAGATTCATACATTGTTGCAATAAATGTCCTTGTATTCTGCAGTAGTAAACATTCATTGATGTTATTCAATCCAAATCAGGTAAGCCTTCGGCTTACTTAACCACGGTTCAACATAGTGTATGCGGGAAAATGCATTACACACCACACAAATTTGCACTTCGTCTTTTGACTATTAGCGCTCCAGCCGCAAAACTGCTGAATGTTGAACGCTGCAGTTTTGCGCGTTCATTCCGTAGCATTTGATGAATTTTCCATCTCGCTGGACAAACTTTCTCTATACTGTTATCCGCAATAATTTAATTTTTAACTGTAGATGTCCGATCGCGTTCAAAAGTGCCATCGGTGCCAGTAAATTAAACGAATAGGGGAAAAATGTTCTCGGGCTTAAAAAAAAAATCAACTGCAGGCTAGCAATCTGGCAGCCATTCAGAGACACGTTTTCCTGAACAGCAGTAGATAGCACTGGATTAATCTGCGGCGAGTGCTCAAAGTTGTGGTAATTCCGTTTCAGCTTAAGAAAAGCAAAAAGGCCCTCGCATGCCGCTGTTTCCTGGATAACCAACAGATCCTAAAGCAGAACTTCATTCAAGTAAATGCCGCAAAAAAGTCGGTTTGTACCTTTTAGCTTATAGCTCTCGATCTCGTGCATCGATCGAGCCCAACATTTTTGCTTTTCTAGCCTAGATGTATGTAATAACCACGATGACGACAGTGGACGAGATTGATCACGCCGTCATAGGGTTTTGATGTATTCCCTTACAAGGCAGATGTTCCTGTCGTGGGAAATAATTTTGAAAATCACGAAGCCATAGCTACCGTATAATTTTGAATGCAACAATTTGGCAGCTTAGTAGCGCTCAAGCAGCCCAACTGCTGAATATTAAGCGATACAATTTTTTTTTACAAAAAATTGGCAACTTCCTGCCTCATTTAAAAAAAAATTTTATGGAATGTTTATTGGCCAAAAAAGGCAAAATACGCTTTATGTAAAACGATACCATACCGTCAACTGTTTTATTATCGGGTATTCTTATCTTCCCTTGAATCCAGTGGCGTAGCCAGGATTTCGCCAATGGGAGGGGGGGTGGGGGGCCGGGACTAGAATTTCCCTTACTTCTCCTCGCCGAGTTTTGCCACTCCATGCCTCCACCAGGCACTCATGAGATTCTAGAGCCTTAAGGAGCCATGCACACTGACTGCGAAGAGCTGCGTTGTGACCACTGCGACCGTCGCAGTTCGTTGCAATCGGTCGCAGATGGGAGAATCCAGGGCCGCCCAGAAGGTTTCCAGGGGCCCGGGGAAAAACTAAACTGGAGACCATTTTGGGTCCCCCTTAAGGCCCTTTGGAGGCCCCCCTTGGGACCCCTTGATACGTGGGGCCCGGGGCAGATTGCCCCAATTGCCCTCCCCTCTGGGCGGCCCTAGGAGAATCCACGGACGCAGTGCGGCTTTGTCGCAGCACTTCGCAGGGTGCATCGGCCATAAAGTGTGCATCAGCCTTTAAGGCCTTTATGGCCAATGCACACAAGAAAATGGTAGAGCATTTTTTTTTTTAAACCACACTATATACTCCCGCCACTTACATTTTCACTGTCTTCCCTGTAGCATCCTTTCCACCATAGAGCGTTTCCTTGCAGGCGCGACTTATTCCTTTTTTCCGCGTATCTCATCTCACTTCACGATTCAATTCCCAAGGGCGAGTCTAGAACATGGATGAAAGACAGTCGCTTCGAGTTCCCATTGGGACATAGTTTCTCCCTGCAGTTTCTTCTTGTTCTAGTGTATCCTTTGTTCGGTTCAATCATTCAATTCTGCACGTTCATATTCTATGCGTACGTCCTGGTGTAGGCTTAAGTACCGTTATACCATACAGGGTATGGCAAAAAAATGGCCAACCAGTGGCGTAGGCAGGAAATCGTCAAGGGGGGGGTTGAGGCCAGGTAGACACCCAAACCCCACGTCTAGCTCCACTATCCGAATTTACCTTTTTGAAGAAATGGTGGTCTGGCATCTTGGGTATGTGGACGGACATCGGACTTTCCTCGTAAGGGGATAGCTAAAATAGGAATTCCCAAGGAAGGGTGAAATATGCCTGTCAGTGTCACTGACCGGGAAGCCCAATGGGGGGGGTTCTAACCCCCTAAACCCCCCCCCCCCTTCCCTACGCCACTGTGACCAACGACTTTTAACCTAAACATTTCCGTTCACAATGGAGCTATTTTCGCGAAATATTCACTATTCATAGTGTATATGATTAGGGTAACTTGGGGGAATATGGACACCAAAAATGAAATCAGGTTATAGCGTCACGTCTAGGTGAAATGAAACTTTGCCAATATTCAGAAAATATTGATTGATGTCTCCTTTATTTATTCCCAACAAGATCCGTGCAGAAAAGTAAATGGGAAAAGAGTATTTGGGACCTCTTCACATGGGGTCCCAAGAGGCCATATTACCCCTATTGTTGGGGGAATATGGCCAGGCATTAGGGGGAATATGGTCTTCAAAATGAAACCTGGTCATCATGGTCCATCAAGGTTGAATTTGACTTTTACAATGTTTCTAAAATATTGAGTGATATCTCCGTTGCTAAATGCCAGCAAGGGGTATGCAAAAAA